TATAGATTGCACTCATGCATTTTCTGATCAACCTCGACATAGATTCCTGTTTTGCCTTCTTGCTGGGTTCTACCATCTCTGGTCTTGTACCCGGTGGTGGTTTGTCTGTCTCGACAAATTCCTTCTTGAAGCTTTCTGGTGTGTACCCGAAAGCGATCGCTTGCAATGCGAACGTTCCCAGCATTTGTTCTCCTCTGAACATGTGCCATGCCTCTTCCGTGGTGACCTCTTTCCAATCTGCAAATTCTTGCATTTGTTTCTCCGTCGGGTCTTTGGGCATGTCATCGTCATCGAACCCATTGTGGACCCCACTGGTAAAGTCGGACATTGCATCCGATCTTTTCTTTGAAAAGAGTTCACGGAATTTGGCGATGCCAGTTTGATGATAAGATGTATACATCGGCTTGATGATTTGCGCCAGAACATCTATCTTGACGGTTTCCTTTGGTTTTCTTATGTTTTCTTTCACTGATGTATGCGCCAGTGTCTTCTAACTGGCTTCAGAGTTGTAGTCCAAGGCCAGGGTGCATCTAGAGACAAGAGCTCCAAACTTTATCCATCACTTCTTTGGGATTCTTTGGGCGTGTGGTTGGATTTGGTGACTTCATGGTCAGTCAAGAACGATCCTCAGTCCTCCATGGTCTGCGGAAAAACAGCTTCTCGGATGAGCAAACCGATGGTAAGCGCATCATCACCAATCATTAGTAAGTCCGGGCGTTGCCCGCGGAGTGCCCCACGCATCTGGAGAAATTCTGTAAGATGGATTGCCCAACTGCTGCCCAAACCGCGGAAATAGAATATCGCGTCCCCCCTTTTCACAACGAATTGTTGCACCCAATTCCCATCCTCACAACAATACGATAGTTATTCAGTGACAACCCAAAACTCACCCGTTGACCCAGAACAAAAAGTATTCCAGAACAGCACGTCTAAATTGCTAAACTCTTAGAACAACCGCACACTGGCCATACGAGTCACAGCAGGCCACGTCCCCTTTCGGTGGCGCACTGCTTGTCCAGAGGGATGGTTGCCACTGGGCCAGCCTTGCGAGAGCGGACTGGATCGGATTGCACGGAGCAAATCTGAGTAGCAAGACGCAGGAACCGTTGGGTGAACGTGGAAAGACCCTGGAGGTTTACACCGTTGAATTTGAGTGAGTGGCTCTGAGATTCAAATTTTTGAAGCATTAATGGATCTCTCCCGTTTCTTGGTTTAGAATCTTTCCCATGACATTCCCAAAACAAACCGCCCCCACCGCCTGTTGAGTTCCTTCTCGGACAAGCGCTGGCGAGGAGGAGATGGAACCATCTCCATGTATCGGCGGTTGGCCCATGACAACACACAGTGTAGACATGCAAGTCGCGCGGAATATAAGCCCTAAGTTTCCAAGACTTTAAAAAAAGGTTGACTTAGTGTTGTAGTGTAAAATATGTTTGTAAAACAATGGTTGTTTGGTGCTGAACGGGGAAGAGAGAAGACCGTATAGTCTTTTTGAAATCTCACTTGAAATCGCACTAGTCACTAGTCGGTGGCTTAATTCGGAATTGGCGCGGGCCTTAGTTAGTTGTAATAGTTTTTGGTCAGTTCCGTTTCGGCCTCTCCTTCACAGCGCTGTATCTCGCTTTGCTAGGTCAGTGACTTTCCGACTTGTGCAGCTGTTTGGTAAAGGCTATTGAATTAATTGTGGTTGGAAGCCCAGGGTAAGCATCATAGAATATATAGATGAAGATGAATGAACTTTAAAAAGTCACGTCCCATACATGTCGATTCTTGAGCATCTGACCTTGACCTATTGGGTATCAGAAAGGGCATGGCTGCACCTGAAGGATACATCAAACAAAACTGTTCTTGAAAACTGATCCTCATGGTGCCTTATCCAGGCCAGTGAAGGCCAAAACGTTTTCTGGCCTCCCCACCCACCGCTTCCACGTGTCAAAGAAAGTGCGACACTCTTGTAGGACACTCTTGTGGGACACTCTTGTAGGGCACTCTTGTGGGACACTCTTGTGGGACACTCTTGTAGGAAACTCTTGTGGGACACTCTTGTGGGACACTCCTGTAGGACACTCTTGTGGGATACTCTTGTGGGACACTCTTGTGGGACACTCCTGTAGGACACTCTTGTGGGATACTCTTGTGGGACACTCTTGTGGGACACACTCTTGTGGGACACTGTTGCGGGACACTCTTGCGGGACACTCTTTGTGAGACACTCTTGCGGGACACTGTTGCGGGACACTCTTGTTGGGACACTCCTGTGGGACACTCATTTTGGACACTCTTGCGGGACACTCTTGTGGGACATTCTTGTGGGACACTCTTAAGGGACACTCTTGTGAGACACTCTTGCAGGACACTGTTGCGGGACACTCTTGTGGGACACTCCTGTGGGACACTCATTTGGGACACTCTTGCGGGACACTCTTGTGGGACACTCTTGTAGGACACTCTTGTGGGACACTCTTGTGGGACACTCTTATGGGACACTCTTGTAGGAAACCCTTGTGGGATACTCTTGTAGGACACTCTTGTGGGACACTCTTGTAGGACACTCTTGCGGGACACTCTTGTAGGGCACTCTTGTGGGACACTCTTGTGGGACACTCTTATAGGACACTCTTGTGGGGCACTCTTAACTCTTGTGAGACACTCTTGTGGGACATGGTTGCGGGACACTGAGACACTCTTACGGGACACTCTTGTAGGACACTCTTGTGGGACACTCTTGTGGGGCACTCTTACGGGACACTCTTGTTGCACACTCTTGTAGGACACTCTTGTGGGTCACTCTTATGGGACACTCTTGTCGGACACTCTTGTGGGACACTCTTGTGGGACACTCATACGGGACACTCTTGTGGGACACTCTTGTGGGACACTCTTGTAGGAGACTCTTGTAGGAGACTCTTGTGGGACACTCTTGTGGGACACTCTTGTAGGAAACTCTTGTGGGATACTCTTGTAGGACACTCTTGTGGGACACTCTTGTAGGACACTCTTGTGGGACACTCCTGTAGGGCACACTCTTCGTACGAGACTTCCTCCAAAAGTCACGCTGCGAGGCTGCAAGACGAGCGTTTCGTACGAGACTTCCTCCAAAAGTCACGCGTCAAGTCTCAAAAACGAGCGTTTCTTACGAGACTTCCTCCAAAAGTCACACGTCAAGTCTCCAAAACGAGCGTTTCGTACGAGACTTCCTCCAAAGGTCACATGTCAAGTCCCCAAAACGAGCGTTCATGTCAAAGTCTGCAAAACGAACGTTTCGCACGAGACTTCCTCCAAAAGTCCACCGCTCACACGCCAATCCCAACTCCCGATTCCCTGCGCCTGCCACGAAATGTCACCTCCGTCACACATCGCAACCTCACGATTCCCTGCGCCTGCCACGAAAATCACACTTCCACACCTCAAAACCCGCACAAAGTCCTGCGCCTGCCACGAAAAGTAAGACTTATGGCCGCTGGGTTGTCTGATCCGCTGATCCGCTGATCCGCTGGTCCGCTGGTCCGCTGATCCGCTGATCCGCTGGTCCGCTGATCCGCTGATCCGCTGATCCGCTGGTCCGCTGATCCGCTGATCCGCTGATCCGCTGATCCGCTGATCCGCTGGTCCGCTGATCCGCTGATCCGCTGATCCGCTGGTCTGCTGATCCGCTGATGGGCTGGTCCGCTGGTCCGCTGATCCGCCGATCCGCTGTTCCGCTTGTCCGCAGTTCCAATCCACAGGGGCTGGCTCCACATGTCCTCTGGGAACCGCTTCATGAATTCCCTTTTCAAAAGCCGGGCAACTTATGTTTGGGAAAACATACATAATAACAGCGTATACAATACCACGGCTTTTCGGTTGCAGAGGACACATCGAACCAGTGGCGCCCACACGCGCACTTCCAGGGCTGTGTTTCACGTGGGCCAATCAAGTCTCCATCTCCTGCAAGCTATCGATGGTGCCTGTCCCTTGTGCAATGCGCTCGTTGTGCGTCCAGCACACTTCTGTGAGAAACCACACGAAGCCATATTGGCTCATGTGCTTGGACGCATGTTTGAATTGGGACAGCCACGTAAATGTAAATTCGCAGACACTGCTCCGGATTCCTTCCAAGCGTTGCTTGTGGCACTCTAAAGTAGGCGCGCAGGTTTCTTTGCACCATCTGTCTGTGTGACCGGTCATATGGAAAGGGTCGCACGCGAAAGCCATCTTGGGAGGAGCGATGCCAGCAGCAGCATGCGATTCCTTGCCGGGAGAGAGCGCTTGAACAAAGCACCAACGCATTATATGTTCTAAAAACAAAACCCGCATTTTCAAAAGAAAGCACGTATGGGCATGAAAAGCATTTTGTACATCACCGTCCTCTTTGCGGCGTTCTGCGTATTTCAGCAAATGGCACGCGTCGTCATGGACGCAAAGAACTGCTTCTGGCAGCAGGCACTTAGCTTCTGACAGCGCAAAATATCTTTGCGACAGGCTTTCACAGCCAAATATTTCATGCAGCAAAACAATGAGGCCAGAGGAAAGGCATACGCAAAGGACCCCCGCACTCTTAGCCAGCTGAAGTGGCTCATGTTCTTTGTGGGTGACGCAGGCGACAGCGCTCAAATCTTCAGCGGCTGAGAGGTGTGGGAGCACAGTGACATCCGGAGGCGATTCCACGTAGGACGGGCCCCCGGCCGGTTTCTTTTTGTTCTGTTGTCGTTCCACACCTTTGCGTTTGAAGTATTGGTCCAGCAAGGCTTGGTGCACCACAGACTCGGAAACCCAAGCTTCTCTTTCAGCCCCTTTTGTTTCCCGCAGCAACACCTGCACAGAGCCATCTGTTTGTATCCTGTGTTCCGCAATCTCCACATCCTGCACAGGGCTCCAGAAGACGGATATGAATTCTATTTGGGGAAAACGTGGCGAATGGGGGCCTTTGTGTACACCTTGGTTGGGGGCTTTTGTGCGCAAACGCCAGCTGCCAGATGCACAGATCTCTTTTTCAGCCTGTAGCTGGCATTACTACCAATCTAATCTTCGTGTCCGTCTTGTCGCTTCCGCTTGGGAGGAGCTGCCGATTTCGCCTTTGCGGCTGCGGCTCGGTTCATGGCTGTCATGAGCTCTCTCATGGTGACTCCGCACAACTTCATCAGCTCATTGTGGTAGAATGTCCGCCCTGGTGCATCTTGCGGTATAGCACGAAGTTGGAGGGTGTCGTCTTGGAAGTCAAGGATGGGAGAACCAGCGCAAGCTTCCATCACGGCCACCCAGTTCTCTCGCGGTAAGGCCTTTCGACCGGATTCTCTGGAGGAGCGCAACTTGTCGCAAATAGTTTTCGAAGTTACCTTGGGATGCCCATGTAGAAGCGTAGCCTTCATGATGAAGCGATCAGTCAAATGCTTCGCGTGAAAAGCACTCTGCACTGAAGCGCCATCCGGGCCATACCCAAACTCGATGGAGCGAACGTCGGCAACCCGGAGCGGCTCAGTCTCGGGCGGAAGTTCGGGGCTGTGACCTGCAGCCGCATCGTCGACTATGGAGTCTGCAAAATCTCCGCCGGGAAAGGGAAGTGGATCTGCCCCAACCAAGGCATCGAAGTCAGGTTGCACTTCTGCTGGCTGCGGCTGGGGGTTGGGACTGGCAGCTTCTTCGCCCAAGGCAATGTCCTTGATTGTATGCACCTTGAAATGGTGTCAAAACACCATCACAGGGCTGCCAGACATGCTGAAGTGGAGCAAAGTTGAACATCTCTCTATGTGTGCATGCCCGGTGATACAACACCCCCCGGCACATAGACCCCGAATCCAAACTGTCTGAAGCATGCCCGCACAAGTATGTAGCAACGTACCGCACAAGTATGTCTGAGCAACGTACCAAGTGTTTGCGCCGTCTATAAGGTATGTAGCACGTCACTCCTTTAGTCTTCGGTGGCTCTGTCGGACGCTCATATTATATATATATATACTCAGGACCCGGCGATTTTGACCAGAGCGAACGCACGTCGAAGGTGGTCGGGTGTGACCTGCAAATCTTTCTGCTGCAAGCGGTCGGCGCTGTAGACTCCTGAGAAGATTTCGTAGACCAGCAGCAGCCCGGCCAAAACGCCGATGTGCCACGGCGCAGCGCCGAGGCGGGCTCCACCAACAGGATCTGCACGTTCCCGGGCCATGTGGGACTGCACATTCAATCCACCCTGGTAGGACATGTGCATTTGCTGGGCTTCGGGAGTGAGATCAAGTTTCATATGTGGCACGGAAAAATATTCCGTGACCCGCAGGACTGCCGCTTCAAGTTGGAATTCAGGAGGCACAGGAAAAGCTCTGTTGGCCACACGCCATTCAGCGGTGAAGCCAGACGGCACCCTGGGATCCCTGCGGAATCGCAGGCGGCTCATGTTGCCGTCAAGCAGGCGGACAGGATAGCCCGCGGAAGATGGCAAGTAGTCGGCTGCAAAGTCTTGCGTGGCAGGGAGCTCTGGCGGCATCTCGCCAGGAAAGGTTTCCTTCCATTCAGCTTGGGCAGCTGCTGGAGAAGTAGCCTCTTTGGCGATGCCGAGCATTTCGGCCACTTCCGCCGGCAAAGGTACCCAAACATGTCTGGGTGTCCCTGGCAAGTTCCAGGGCAGGTATTTCAAGAAGCGCAACAAACTGAAAGCTTCCTATACCCTGACCACAGGAGTGTTAAGGCAGTTTTAAGGATGTCAGCAACGACCCGAACAATCAAATGGTCCTGTAAACAAACCACAGCTCGGTTCTCCCAACAAACCCAGCGAACCGTCAAAGGGTGAACAGGAAACAGCTCAAGACGTCCTTGCCTGGTTCTAAGATGAAATCGTCGGGGAGGTCTTGGTGCGGCTGGACGGGCTTCCCAGAAGCCACTAGAAATCTCTCTTTGCATGCAACTTGATGCGATCCACTCTCGCCACGCTCCATGGGAAAGAACTGCGACGGGTGAATGTTTGTGGTCACACCTAGCGAGATGTTCCGGGAATCTGTTTCGCCAAATGAACCCGCCGTCTTGGTTGCTCTTGCCGCGGAGCCAAACTGCAAAAGTTTGTTGAGAGAGGATTGATGCGGGCTAATCTTGGTGGATGCTTTGGCTGAAAGCTTCTCATCAGACAGCAAACCAAAAGAGGTGAGAAAATCATACGCTTCGTCGAGGTTCCCAAGCACTCCATACCACCGGCGGCCGTGCCAGAGATGTGACCCACCTGGCAACTTGCTTCCATTCTTGACCTGGTCAAAGTCACTTGCGCATCTATGAAACCACTCCTCAGGGGTTGCGCTTGCGATGGCGGATGATAGCACCACAGCCGCAACCGGTTTGGGCCTCGGGTCACAGCTTCAAAGTCAAAGGCGCGAGACACCTACAAGCTTTGTCAACATGAAACACAGAATGAAGCAACAGCTTCTGGAACTAAAGCCAGCTCTGGTTGGTGCTTGTTTCGTAGTTCTGTTCAATAACACGCATTGTTTATCCGAAACCGCGCCTCTGACCAGCAGCAGTGCTTTCATCATGCGTGAAATCTTGTTCCACTGACATCTGGTTCAAGAAGGTTTGAGTCTTTTGCCGGACATGGGAATCCAACACCCTGGTGATGCTGTCAGCATGGCTGGTGCATGAGCTCTTTCGTGTTTGTGAATAGTTCACGTTGATTCCAAAGGCAACCAAAGGACTGCTTGCCGTGGGAAAAATCTGCACAGCAGCTCCGTTCGTCAAAGGTGCCATCATCGATAACAAGTGCAGTGCATATGGGTACTCAGGGTGCGATGCGCGGACGGCCCATGTTTGACACATCTGGTGGCCTTTAGCCGTGAGGATGTCAGCTGGTTGCCACATCTTCCCCACAGCATCCCAAATCTTCTTCATTGCCGGCAAATATTCAACATCCCGGCTCATTGCCACAACGGACGCAGCAAGGGCCAAGAGGCAAACAAAATAGCTTTCTTCTGCGAAAGGAAAAACGGCTGCGGCGTCAGGTCATCCTATAGTTTGCGACCCATTCGTGTAGTTAGTGTAGTTGCCTTCCCTTGCCGCACAGACAAGCTATTTGACGAACACTTGTTCCCATCAAAATAGAGTTGGGGAGTCTGACACCAGGGTGTGCATGTGTGTGTGATTCTTCGACCATGAGCTTTCCGCAACCCAGGTCCTGAGGTGCAGCAGCCACATCATCTGTATTGTGCTTGGCGCAAAAGAGATGCCCAAGCGCAGGGGTAGCTGGGCAATTGTGCCGGAGTGTTTTGTTGAGAGAAAGAGACTGCTTTCTCCCGCACAGCAACGCTGCGCATACAGCCCGCCGGTTCTTTGCGTTCCCGTCCATGACAATGACATCTCGCCTTTGCTGAGCGTGCTGAAGCCACGGCAGCATCTGAAAATGCTTTTTGTAAAGCAGGAAGAACAGGTTTCAGCAAATCTTCAACTCCCTGATGTATGTCAATGGGGTTCTGCGCCACACCCGGGATATTGTAGGCGTACCCTCGCACAAGCAACCGCCACTTGAACCAAGCCTCGCTGATCATTTTTCTGAGCCGGGCCACTGGCAGCCAAGCAGTCTGACCGTGTCTGACTGCTCTTTGTTGAATGACGTCACTCTCACTGATGAAGCTAGCGTGTTGGCGGACAACACGGCTGTGAAAATCTTCCAGCCATTCGATCGAAAAGCCAAAAGATGATGAAACCATGAAGCATTTCAAGTCTTGTGGATGTCCCAGAAAGAAATGTCTTCCAGCGTCTACGAAGTAGTTATGCCAAATCAAGCTGCCATACATATCACAGTTCTTGTTGCGACAGCGACACGGTATGTGGTCCTTCCTGACCAAACCACCTGTGTGCACTATGGTCGCTACTGCCTTGGCAGATGCAATCTTTGCGAGGTGCGAATCACACCGTGGGCAGGACTTTTGGAGTGGCAACAATTCTCGGAAACAGGTTTCACCGCCAAAGACAGGGAGGCAATGCCCGATCTCTGCACTAAGACACTCAACCACGCGTCCAGCCACGGCATCGGGCACAACTGCTGCCGGGTCTGCACTGGTCACGGCATCTAGCAAGCAAGCGAGTCGCTGCTCCATCCGCGCAAACCATGTGCTTGACAATATGTATAAGATAAGAGAAGCACAAAAAGGGTTGCGCTCGAAACAATGACTATATGCTGCTTTGCAGTCTACATGTGCAAACTTCATGTATACACGTATACACGTGTATGTAGTAGAAGGGCGCATGCCCCTACCACAAAGCGGCCGTCCAAAGCTGTCTGGGTGGAAATCAGCATCCGTGAAAGGTTTTCAAACCATGTCAAATCTCTTGGTCAACGTCTTTTCTCTCTCTCTCTCTCTCTCGCGTGCTCGATCCATCCGTCCATCCATCCATCCATCTATCTCTCCCTCTCTCCCAAAGCCAGACAATATGTGTGAGAATGTGCGTGGGATTTGATTCAAATGGTCTTGCTCCGCTAATCCACTGGTCGATCCGCTGATCCGCTGGTCCGCTGATCCGCTGATCCGCTGGTCCGCTGATCCGCTGGTCCGCTGATCCGCTGATCCGCTGATCCGCTGGTCCGCTGATCCGCTGAGCTGCTGATCCGCTGATCCGCTGGTCCGCTGAGCCGCTGATCCGCTGGTCCGCTGATCCGCTGATCCGCTGCTCCGCTGCTCCGCTGCTCCGCTGCTCCGCTGCTCCGCTGCTCCGCTGATCCGCTGATCCGCTGATCCGCTGATCCGCTGATCCGCTGATCCGCTGATCCGCTGGTCCGCTGGTCCGCTGATCCGCTGATCCGCTGGTCCGCTGAGCCGCTGATCCGCTGATCCGCTGGTCCGCTGAGCCGCTGGTCCGCTGGTCCGCTGCTCCGCTGCTCCGCTGATCCGCTGGTCCGCTGATCCGCTGATCCGCTGGTCCGCTGATCCGCCGGCAATGGTTGGACAATATGACGGCCATGAGTGAAAAGTAACAATGTCATCTCATGTGAGCTTCAACAAAATTTGCACCACACCACACGTTTGGAATGATTTCGACCCGTTCTGAGCACACTCCCATCCACCAAAATCGGCATTTCAGCTGAGACTTGTCACGAAAACAGAGCTTCGATGCCACACCCTGAAACGCAAATCCCAATGGCACGGCCACATCCAACACGACTCTCCAAACGCTAATCCCAATGGAACTGCGTAGCAACCTGCGGATCTCACAAAACGCTGCGCCTGTGCAGCGAAATGCGTCACGCTCCTTGCGCGACATGTCATTTTCATGCAAATCACAATGAATAGCGGCGCAAACTGACGCGTGACACATCCATGAATAGTCACTTGCAAAAGCTTCCCCCAATGGCAGCGCCTTAGCGCTCTACCACAGAGCTTCGATGCCACACCCTGAAACGCAAATCCCAATGGCACGGCCATGTCCAACACCCCAAGAACACGACTCTCCAAACGCTAATCCCAATGGAACTGCGTAGCAACCTGCGGATCTCACAAAACGCTGCGCCTGTGCAGCGAAATGCATCACGCTCCTTGCGCGACGTGTCATTTTCATGCAAATCACAATGGAATAGCGTCGCAAACTGACACGTGACACATCCATGAAAAGTGACTTGCAAAAGCTTCCCCCCATTGGCAGCGCCTTAGCGCTCTACTGCGAACGGTTGCGAACGGTTGCGGACGTAGAAACAACGGATCGCGAACAAGGCTCTGCCCCCAGACCCCCAAGAGTTAAACGAGAACCCTTCGCTACGCATTCGGGAACAAAAACAAAAAAAAAGTAGCAAACCCAAGAGGCGCCGTTTCGTCCAGAAACCAGGTTCTTTTTTGTGTTCAAATTTGGCATCCCTTTGAGGATGCAGGTATGACCTTGGATTTGGGAGTGTGTCTGAACTTCCAGTGTTTGAAACCAATTGAACACATTGAGCAAATGGCACATTTAGAAGGTGAACCGAACTAAGTTCTGTACCTTGAGTCTCAGTTCCTACTCCGAACATTTGGTACAAGGATCTGTTTTCAAGGGTCATGAGTCATGAGTCTCATGTCCCATTTTCTAGGGCACTTTGAGGCACTTTGAGGGTTCCATGGATATTTTGTGGACGCAACCCGCAACCACAACCCGCTCGACGTGATGAACCACGCCCCATGTTCCACCAATGAGGCCAGTGTGAGTACTGCGGTGGCAACCAGGTATTTGGTATTCCTGAAAATCGCCGCTCTTAATATCTCAACATTATAAGTGATTTTCACAAACCAATTGTTCCATCGATGGATCGCCGCGCGCCAGGGAAATCAGAAGCAGATCACTTAAGAAACACCAATTGCTTGCTTCGGACACCTTCACCATAAGATATAGTAACTATTTATAACTCGATGATTCCTCATCTTGGCTTCGCTTCTTGCGACGCTCGCGGCCCATGACACGGACCTAGGTCCGATCGCTTCCCGGAAGTCCTAGGTTCGACCTCGCCGGACGACTCCGGGTGCTGGGCTGCGGTGTTTCCGGCCGAGCTTCTTCCCCGGTCGGATCCCATGGCGATTAGAAGATTACAACCCTTCAAACCATCAAACCACGCAAATGCAACATATTCCAGTCCCCCAAGTTGCGGAATCCGACCAAACAGTTGTGGAATCCTAGTTGCGGAATCCTGCGCAGTTGCGGAACTCGACTTTATCCTACACTATAGCAAAATGACGCCTGACCCGATCCACCAAACCAGTCCAGACCCCACCAAACCACTGAAACAAAGCCACTCAACACCTCACCTAGAAGAAGACTGAGCGGCAACGGCGGCGAGCACCCTCGGCATGGGTGCTGAACCTGCGACGAACCCCCAAGAGCCATCCCAGTGGGCGACGTTCAGGTCCCTGTTCGAAAGTCCTAGCAGTGAAGATGTACTTGTATACGATTGCCATTCTATAGAACATTGAGTAATTCCAGGTTTTGGATGTGTGTTTGAATGACCATCCCAGACATGAATCACTTGAAGATGGTTTTAACACAGACTGATACCGACTAAAGACACAGCATCGCGTGACTCTCGTGACGACGCAGCGGAGCTCTGACCGGTCCCATGGGGAGTGGAAGCTGCTCACCCGGACTTCCAAGACCATTTACAGTGGCCATCAGAGGTTCGATGGCACTGGCGGTATCTATCCATGAGTGATGAAGACCCTGTGATCGTGTCTTGGCAGCCGGCTTCGTCCTGAGGATCAAATGGAACTGGTTCCGGATATCTGCGCCACTTCGGAAGTTCATGGTTGGCGAGATGTTCGTCAGGGTGATAGGATTTAGGTCCTCCTCTCTCATACTCGTCTTCATCATTTCTTCCGTCACCATGTTTGGTGTCTTGATCTTCTACCACTCTGTCCGTCGTTCCATTGAACTCGGCTGTGCTCTTGTTGATATTGTTCATCGATGACTTCTTCGACCTCTGGCGACTGAGAGTCACCTTCATATAATCCACCTCACCAACGTCGAAAGTCGAAAGTGGGGGTGAATAGCTCGTGGCCTTCTTCTTTCCTGGGTCCTTGATCTTTCTCCTTCAGGAAGTCTTCGATGTTCTCTTGGTTCATCTCGTCATCATCTTCGTCCGGCATGATCTGAGATTGAACCGCTGATTTGACTTCGTCCATCTTTGCCTTGTCGAAGATCTTCTGTTCTTCATGGCCAGGGTCATCTGCATTCTCTGTTTCGGGATCATTCTTGATTTCCGCCTCCTCGTCATTGTCGTCGATTTCAATGACCTCATCGGTGGAGATTGTGTTCCTGATTCCGCAACTGAAGAAATGTTCGTGACAATGTAGACATAGGGCGAAAATGTTTGGTGTCACGCTCATACATGCAGGGCATTAGATGTTCCCATCCACGTTGTTGTATCCTTCACAAGTTCTGGCGATGATCACATTCCATGGCTCTTGCTT